GGCTCTGGGGGGGGGGTCAGGAGTCCAGCAGGGAACAGGGAGGCAGGCAGGGTCCACAGGGAGATGGGGGGCAGGCAAGGTCTATGGAGGGGTGCTGGAACCCAGGAGGTTTTGGCAGGATCAGGGGGGCTTATGGCTCTGTGAGGGGTTTTGGGGGGGTTGGGGAACTCTCTCCACCCCCTGGGACCAGAGACTAAGGGGTTGGGTGGCTATTTTTAGCCACCCAACCCCTTCAACTGGAGATGAACAACCCACCCTATAACCCTATCACATCTGCCCTTCCCCATACCCTGTCTTACTTCCTCAGCTTCTGGCATTGGCAAAATCTGATAAAACTTGCACCAGGAGTGGCTTGTGGGATGGGGGATTTGGTGAACGAGGGCTGGCTGGTCCATGGGGGAAAGATGTCTGTCTCAGGGTGGGGCAAGAGGGCTGCTAAAAATAACCCAATGCCAGGTATGGGGTAGAAGAAGCACAGCCCCAGGGCTAGGGCCAGTGGCTGGGCTTTCCCAGACCTGGCGGTGTACTGGGAATGGTACAGAAGTTCAGTTAGATTAGTTTCACTAAATGGGAGCTAAGTTAGAATACCTTGGAAGTATTAACTTAACTTGGATCAGGTCAGTCATTTTTAGAATAATCTAACTGTCCTGAACTTCAGGACAGTTCGCACATGGATCCACCTAACTAGTGTAAAGTCCATTCCTGGGCAAATTAAGTTAGATTGGGTGTCCATTTTTAACATGATCTAACCTTCCCCTAACCTCTCTAAGGCTAAGGACAGATAGTCAGAAAGCCCAAGGCTCAATTGATTCAACCTTCGCAGGTTAGGCTGAGCTGCATACATTGAACCAATAAGTAAGTAAACAGACATTCACTTTGGATTCCAGAAATGCAGCCACATGCCTGCAGTGGCCCAGGTGAGAAGCCAGGAGGCACTAAAGCACACCTCTCTGCTCAGCTGGAGCAGACAGTTTTAGCCAAACCTAGCCCACCCACCCTGTGAGGGGGGCTTGCAAGGGAGATGAAAAGCATCCTGGGCTGCTGGGGGACTGTGAGCTAACTTGAATCAAGAGAGGATCTGGGACAGAAATTCCATAAACTAATTTAACCTACATCAGTTAAGTCTGATACTACCTCCGTCCAGGTGTCTCTTAAACCAGTTTTGGCCATTTTGAAAGCAGTTTATGTGCACTGGATTTCTGTTGTGTTACAGCTTTGAACCAGTTTCCAGCCCAGGGATCCAGATTTTCTGTTTGCTGATGACAAATGCAGATTATTTCTTTTAAAGAAGAAAATAATGAATTTTCTACTTTGAAGGAGAAAAACCTGGGAAGCCACAGGTTTCCTCTTGCAAGCTAGCAGAGTTCCAGGTTGCAAGGGGCTGATTGGGGCTGAGGGGAGTGGGATGCGGGGGAAGCCACATGCATGTGTCTGCACATACACGTGCATTTGGCAGCCAAGCAGCTGTGGAGAGCATCTCCTGCAGATCCCCCAGGTAAGTCTACTGGGGAAGCACAAGTGATTGATGGGGGGAGGGGGCATGTGATCTTCCAGATTTCTGTGCCCGCAACAAGGCACAGGGCTGTACCCAGGCTAGACCAGCACCAAGGTAAGGAAAGCCCTGGCTACCAGGCAGCAGTAGGGAGCACAACTCCATGCTGCCACTGCCCCTGCCACATTGGTGGAGGGACTGCCATGTTGGTGCAGTGGTCCCTCCAGTGCTGGGTCCCACCCACTCAGCTGTGAAGGTGGCTCCTGCCCAGAGCTGGTCTGGCCTGGCTGCAACCCTGTGCTCCACTGTGGGTACAAAAATCTGAGGGGGGGGAACACATGTCTCCCCACAAACATAACTTGTGCCCTCTCTGCTCCCCCATGTGTGGCCTGTGCTCCTCTACCACCAATGTGTTGCATGTGCCCACACCTCCCTCCCCCACACACCCACCCTTGTCCTCATACACTGGGGGACCGGGGCCAGAGAGCCAGGGGCAATGGGTTGGGAGTGAGGGGCACCAGCAGCGGTGTGGGGGGGCTGTGGATCAGGAGTGAGGGGCACTGGCAGGGCTGCGGGGGCTGTGGCTTGGGAGTGAGGGGAAGTAGCACGGGCAGGGGCACCAGCACATCAGGGCTGCTCAGTGCCACAAAGGGGAAGGACACCCACATCTGGATTTGTATCCTGGTGAGCAAAGGGGGCAGGGGGAGCTCTGATTTTTCATGATAAAAATAATCAAATGTCAAAATATATAAGTATTTAGAATTTTTTATTATAATAATTGAGGTACTTGCAGGCTTCCAAATTGCTTTAAAATTGTAAATATATCAATAAAACATTGTGTTCAACTGATACCTATATAGATAGTGGTTTCATTTTAATTGCAGAAAAACACAGATTTGGGGGGTTTAATCAGAGAATTTGCTATTTTTAATCAGACAATTTGCAATTTCTAAACAGAGAAAACCAGGATTCTTGAATCACTTATATTGGTTTATGTGTAACTTCTGTGCCTGTCACAGGTTTCACTCTGGTTTTTTTGTAGCATCACATTGGCCTGGATCTAGAGAATCTCCAAGTTGTCTGTTCTGGTATCTAACCTCCCCCAGCTCATTTGACTCCTTTAGGTGTGCTTCCAGAGGCTCAAACTGCTAGGCTTGTTAACAGAACCTTATTGCTGGCGTCTCAAAGCATGGAAGCATCAGTTCAAATTAACAGAGCCTGGACACTAATTAACTAGCACTACTTCAGCATGTGGTTACCTGGAGTTATGGAAAAAGCTTCAGGGGAA